ATCTTAAAATGTTTTGCGGGAAACATCAACTTCCGTAAAAAATTCGACACTGCTTCGTCGTTTCTTCGGTCGCGGGGGAAATTTTAGTGAGAGAAAAATTTGCGTTTCCACCAGAAAGATACCGTCCGACCCTCCGAAATATACCGACATATACCGTCTCGTTTTAAAAATATACCGTAAATATACTGACGAAGTCAAGTTCTGTTATACATATTACTCGTTTTTGATATTCCGTCGATTATTACTAGCTATATAGAACATTTAGCCATGCCCACATAATTTTATACAATTGATGAATCAATTTTCTATTTAACTGGTATAATCTTAATACTTGCTTTTATTTTATTTTGCGTAAAAAGAGGTTTTAGCGAAATAAGTCAAACAAAGGACAAGTAGCGAAAAAGGTCAATCAAAACAGGCGAAAACGGAAATTGCTCAATTTTGATATTCCATTGAATAATGCTGACTAACTAAATCTCTCAGCACGGCCCACATAGTTTTATCCCATTTTCTACAAGATTGGATATTTTTTAATCCTTGCTTTTATTGTATTTATTGTAAAAAATAGGTTTAAACGAAAAAGTTCAACAAAAAAAGAAGCCGTAGTAATTTTATTTGTTAATTTGTTAATTTGTTAATTTTATATGAGAGTATAAATATTGATATGAAGATAAAACGTAACTAATAAAAACCTTTTCTCAAATTGACATTTTTTAGACATATTCATGTATATGATGAGTGATGAGTATTTGATCTCGATCCTGATACCTATTCTTGGTCTCTGCAAGAAGACAATAAGCTTAAAAATATCGTTGATGTATTTAAAATAAATAACATTAAATAATATTGAATAATATTAAAATATATTGAAAATAAATTGTTTTTGCCTGGGATGACAAACATATTCACAATTCTATAACATCCATTTCCCCCAGGGTATGTGTGCATGGAATGGGACTCATTGTTGTCAACCGGTTATTACAGATTCTACCCGATTCAAATAAATACCAAAATATACGGTCTCATTTTCAAAATATACCGAGTGGTGCGCGCCAAATCTAACTTTTTTGAATGTGAGCGACAAGGATTTAAATGTTGTCAACCGGGCCATTACCGATTCAACAAATACGACGATTCCCTCAATTTTGATCTTCCGTCGAATATCAGCTATATAGAACAGTTAGCCATGCCCACATAATTTTATCCCATTGATGAATAAATTTTCTACAAGATTGGATAAATTTTAATCCTTGCTTTTATTGTATTTATTGTAAATAGTTCAACAAAAAAAACAGTCGCTATGTTGCGTGTAAGCCCTAGTCTAGGCCTTTGTATACCTAAAGGGGCCTAGGGGGCGGAGGCGTTGTTGGCAACGCAGTTGGCGAGGAGTCGTAGCTTCTATCATGGCGAACAACCAGCAAATCGTCCGTGCTCATTTCACCCTCTTACACATACTTTTAGGGCTTTAAAATCTACTGGCTACTCTTCCGATTTCAGCGCTTATATTGATTGATTGGCGTTATCTAACGTTATAGCATCTGCGTGGAAGGTTTCCGGGTGATAATTGCGTTTACTTTTTATCGCCAAGGCCACCAGAGCCATTCGAATACATTGAAGACTAAAGACTGAGACTAAAACTACTAAGCACAAACAATTTATTAATAATATAATATAATAATATAATTCTAATAATATAATAATAATATAATAAAATAATGGAGTAATATTGAAGTCCGATTTTAGTCCTGGAACTTTTCGCACATTTGGCAAAGCAGTTCCAGATTTCTGTGGAAGAGACATTAGAGATCATATTAGATTTGTTAGAATGTTAGAAAAAGATAGATAGACTTACAATGCTCTTTTGGAAAAATCGCATGTGCTGCATATCAGTTGGGTGCACTTATTGCACGATGCACTGCATTTTGTGCAGGTGAACTCCGCGCAGGTGCTGCATGTAAGTTTGTCTGCATGGCAGCAGAGTGTTACAGCAGCGTTGGATGGCGGTATACTTTTAGCCTTAGGCTTCTTTTTTAGCGCATACTGTTTTGATTGTATGTTGTTATAGAAATTTACACGATTTTGACTGCTGGTCCAATTGGAAGTTATTTCATTGGGAAATAACTCGGTTATTTCGTCAACAAGTTGGCGAGACTTTGACATGGATAACTTTACATTTTGTTCAGAATAAAACGCCGTTATAGCTTTTCTGATTAACTTCCTGTCTCCAGGCGTCAAAGGCTCCTTTTTCACTTTTTTTAAAACGGATGTACATTTTGATTTTAGGAGAATCCCGTAAACGTTTATAATCAACTCCACCGTCCGCACTGACGACACGCTGGCTACGTCGTGCCTTGGGGTTACGATACCACTCCATTCTCCTATTTCGGAATCTGAGCCAGAGTCGTCTTTTGGTGGCGGTTTAGGTGTGGGAGGCATTCTTTCGATATAATGATCTGGACTTATGGAGGGAGTTTGTGGAGGCGGACTATTAGGCTTTGGTGAAAAATTATTTGGCTTCGGCGGAAAATTTGGTGGCTTTGGCGGACAATTTGGTGGCTTTGCTGGAAAATTTGGAGGCTTTGGTGGACTTTCGTGTTCGTGTTCATACGTTTCCTTCTTTCTTTTTGCATCTCCTTCTTCCTTTGTAGTCCACTCCCAAATTGTGCATGTTACTTTCATCTTGGTGGCGCAAAGGTAAGCGAAGAAACAAGTTGATAGTGGGGTCACTTTACACGATAGCTGTAAGCTAAACACAAACACACCCACGCTTTCAAAAGAGGCCGGCCGCCAGCTATTCCTGCGATTTTGGATAAACAATTCAACTCTATTCACAAACTGCGAGAAGACCTGCCTCCTTACCTGCTTTTCAATTGTGCCGTTAGCCTATCGAAGTGAGTGTTATTTGATAATTTGTTTAAAATCTAACTTGGGACGCCACCAATAATGTCCCGTTAACGGCTGTTTCTGGACACATATGTGTCCGTCCCATTTGTGTTTTCTAGTGATCTGTGCGCGGTAAAGCCGCAAAGCTTTTCCTCCCACGCTGTCGCTGGTGGCTAGCTCTTTCTCCGGCTCGCGCCCATCGTACTCGAAAGGATGGCACTCGACGAAGATGTGATGGCGTCCTTCACCACCACCCATATAGCTTGGTATATAGGGCAGCATACATAAATTTACCGGATTTTCTTTTCAGATCCTGCCATTTCAATTCTTTTAAGTCCGTTGTCACTATGTACTGTAGCTTCAAACAAATTATACATTCCTTCAACGCGGTAAAACCGTTGAACCAACCGCTAGTAGTGATTAAAAGAGCCATTCGGCATGTCGAGCGACCAGGGCACGTCGAAGAGCTCAAACGTGGAAAAATAGACCTACTATCAAACCTTTCGGTTTTTACTGGTCAGCCATTTGTACTCATCTTCGATGAGTACCACATCCCACTGCTCTTGACTGTATTTCCACCACGCTGGAAAGTGCTAGCAATAGCTGGCTTCAAAGTGGACGGAACTAGCTTCCGTTTCATTTACTTGCGTGTGGTGCCCATAGCTCAAGCACTTCCGATTGATGGTGCCCGTTCTAAACTGGGCTTAAAAAAAATAAACGCGGCCTTAAGTATCGTCCTGCAAAGGACTGTGGATATGGGCCTAGCAGACAACCTAATGGCTGTTGTCTGCGATGGTTGCCCAGCCAATGGGCTAGCCGTCTCAAATGCCAATTGGAACTTTCCAGCTTTGTGGGATTTCCCCCATCTAGATAGGATTTTTTACAACAGCAAAAAAGCGCCCTTCTCCGATATCATTCTTAGAAATTTATACAATTCGAGCTTCACGCCAACGAATTGGAGGGACGTCTTTGATAATTTGCCAGATTATCACCCAATAGTCCCCACGGAGTATCATGATTATTATACAACAGAGCTATTCAACATCAGATTGATGGTTGACAAATTTTTTTTGGTTCCGCGCGCAAGCCCATTGTAGCTAAGGGACATAAATTCCAATAAGCTCGAAGCAATGGGTTTCATCATTAAAAGGCTTGCGGCGGACATTGTAGATTATGCATCCCACATTAGCCAGCCTAATGAATTTCAAGAGGATGCACTCTATTTTATAGCCCGCTTAGTCGGCACTCTAGCTCTATTAGCTCAAGGAACCGCGTAGAAAATCTCTTTTTCAAAGTTTTACTTAATTTGCAAGTTGGCTGGAAGCCCTAGGTCCTGTCGAAGTACAAATTCGACGATTAATATTACATTTATTGTTAATAACTTCATACTTTCAGACACCCCGACGATCGATGCCCCGCCCTAAAAGTAAATATAGTGGATTAGGCCTATTGGGGATACCACTTAAAAAAAAACGCGCCAAAAACTCGACCTCTTGGGTGGTTGTGGAATGAGTTTATTACCATAAATAAATAAATCCGGTCCCGCAAGATTGCTGAAAGCGTTGGCCAGCTCAACCTTTAACTGAGCTCCGACGTAGCTCTATCTGGTCCGACGTACACGGATCCCCATGCCTCTCCGACCATACTCCGCTAAAAACTTGACTGCTGTTTCGTTAACGGGATAGCCAGATGCTAGCAACTTCGCCATAAAAGCAGGATTTGCCTCAGGGAATATATGTAGAAGGCTTGACTTCTTCCGTGCTTATTTGTTTCGGTTTTGTTTCCTTGTCCGCGTACTTTGCAAAGGCGTAGAAGGTTACCGGAGAAAATAACTTTCCCAATCTGTCAATGGTCGAGAATTAGCCAAAAATGTGTCATACAATTGGTGGTACTTATACTTACTTTGCCTATTCATGCTGAAACTCTTCGGGCGAATCATCCTCTTCCGCTTTTGGCAACTTGTCCTTCGTTCGTTGGGGACAAGCGCGTACCTTAAACTGGTGTCGCCTTCGGACCTTGGGTCCTTGTAGAAGGCATTGTGGTAGTAGTAGCCTGGCATACTCATCCATAGTCTTTCGCTCCATCTTCATCCGCAGCTTGGTCGCGGCATATGCCACCTCATATGGCATAGCCGGCAGGTTCTCTATTGCATTTTTAAAGTCTTTAATTTCTAAGCGGTCTAGCGGTCTTAAGTCTAGTTACTTAATTTCTTCGATGGAGCCATTAAAGCTCGATTTTTGGTTCGGTGCGCGAAAATATCCGAGGCACGGCCATCGCAGAGCAGGGCGGCCGATGCAAAGCTGTGGGAAGGTGGAGTAGAATATTGTTAGTTTAAGAATTTGGGCAGATATCGTGTCTTTCCACTCACCTGGTTGATGGGACACTGAAAGTCTCCTGGCCGCTTGCAGCAGTCGGCCTCATCGTGGACATTGTCACAGTTGTCACTGGTGGTACCATCGCAGATCAGAGTCTTGTCTCTGCCCTCGGTTGACTGTCAGCTGAACTGCTCCGCCGGGCAGTCCTTTCGTCACAGCGCCAGAAGGCGGATATACTGTCGTTCTTTATGTCACTACTCCCGCCACTTAAAATTATCTGTCCGGATAGACGCCGTAGTTCTCCTTGCCCTCCAGTAGCATCAGAGCATCAGAATCTGGCACGAGCATACGTCGTGAATACTGCGTGTCATACCCCGCTGGCCATGCAGATGTGGAAACACTTTGTGCGACTGTGCAGACAGGTGTGATTGCGCTCCTCTCCAGTCCGGTCTTATCGTCCGACACAAATCTCCCGAAGGCAGAGACCAGCGAGATGTGCATGGAAGCACGGATTTTTCTGTAAAGGGGGAACAGGAGATTACAAAGGTCCAAAGGTGTCCAAATATTGGTTGCTTACTAACATCGATACGCATGGGATATCGGACTGTTCGTGTAAGACCAGAGTCGTGACTTCTTCCAGGTCCACATGCTCATTGCCATCGACTCGGGCCCGAATGATGGCCTGATGGCTGCTGATATCTGTCCAGAAGAGCAGACGCTTCGAGGCTTCGGCGAGTTCGCCCAGGAAGCTATAAGAGGCAACGTTTTAGAACACAGCTGAATAGGGAGAGAGAGCTCCACCTGGGCACGGATAATCTTGCCGGACACCGGCAGCAGCTAATTCGGGCAGTCCGTCGTAGCTGGGAGGGATGCAGGCCACGTCCTTAGCGAGGCTGCGGCTCTGGCCAGTCTTGATCAAAGTCCCCGGTGCTCCAGTCGCTCCAGTAGTCCTAGCCATCCAGTAGAGGAATGTGAGCTCCCGGTTATGGTTGCAGCTCGGATTCGTCCATCGTGGCGCGGCTTATGGAGTCCGAGGCGACTCTGTTCAAGTACATGCACCCGCGACGCGTCTCGAGGACGAGGGAACGCGGCTTCTCCACCCCCCTTCCACAAAGCACGACGGCTGCCATCCACGCGGGTGATCTCGATGAGATGAGCCTCCGCATCGGACCGACGCGAGAACATGCCCCATTCCACACGTTTTTCCATCGCACCAGACGCCAGAATCCTGAAGAACCCGGTGTCCAGATGCCGTCCAGGGTCTGTTCTTTTTCCTCCTTTTTCAATTGTTTTCCTATGAAATTCGTCTTCTGGTGGCTGAGGCAGGGAGTAGTGGGCCACAACTGCGCCAAAGGGCGCCGCTGGTCGTTTCGGCATCGCTGCAGACTCTGTGGCTCGACTTTAACTGTAAATGCGAAGAAGGTGGAAAGCACGGAATAGCCGTGGAACAGCGGCGGTTTTTGGGAGTGCCCTGTGACATCAGGACTTACTGTCATTTGAAGCCACTGTAGGCAGACGCACAAAGCACTTATGTTCACACAACAGTAGCATAAACAAACGAGTATCATTCCAATTGCTCAATTCTTTATTCCGACGAATATTACTAGCTATATAGAACATATAGCCATGCCCACATAATTTTATACGATTGCTGAATCAATTTTCTACAAGATTGGATAGTTTTTTATCCTTGCTTTTATTGTATTTATTGTAATCAGGGTTAAACGAAAAAGTCCAACCAAAAAAGAATCGCAATGTTGCTGGTATTTGAAGACGTGATGCGTGTATAGCCTTTGTACACCCTATTTCGCTAATTTTATATGAAGATCAAACGTAATTTATTAAGACCTTTTCTCAAATTGATATGTTTTTAACTTATTCATGTGGCTTATTAGTATCTTGTATATATTTATCTCGATCCTGAGCCTTGGAAGACAAACGTATTCACAATTCTATAACATCCATTTGCCACAGGGTATGTGTGCATGGAATTAGCAACATTTGTGCATGGAGTTAGCAACATTTGTGTATGGAATGGGACTCATTGTTGCAATAGCGAAACTGCGGCGAATCGGGTATTGCCTATATTTCAAGCTATATAGATTTGCCCACTTGGCTTTATCCCATAGATAAATGCATTTTCTACAAGATTGCTTCTTTTAATTACCTTTATGTATTTTATTTTGACCAAAAAACGGTTTTCAAGTAAATGTTGCCGCAACTTTTGTGTATGGAATGCGCAACATTTGTGTATGGAATGAGACTCATTGTTGCTAAAGCGAACTGCGGCGAATTGCGGCGAATTCAAATTTTCTCATATTCTTTGTTCCGTTGAATAATACTATCTATATGGAATATTTAGCCATGCCCACTCAATTTTGCACGATTGATGAATCAATTCTATATTTGATTGGCCTATTCAAAAAACTTGCATTTATTGGGTTTTTATATAAAATTGAAAATGAAATTAATAGATGACAAAAATACCATTTAGCACTAAAAAACACCACATGGGAGCGCGGCGAAAACCAGTTTCTACAGTATATACGGTCTCACTTGAAAAATATACCGAGTGGTGCGCGCCAAATCGAACGTTTTGAATGTGAGCGACAAGGACTTAAATGTTGTCAACCGGGCCTTTATCTATGCCCACATAATTTTTTACGATTAATGAATCAATTTTCTACACAATTGGTTAGTTTTTAGTCCTTGCTTTTATTGTATTTTGACTACAGCAAGGATTAAACAAAAAAAGTCAACAAAAAAACAGGGGAAAAATGACATTGTGGCGGGGAAAAGTCCCTCCACGAAGAGAGGATTTCCCATCACAAAACAGAGAGCAAGTCCCACAAAAGTCCCTATTCAATTTATGTATTATACCTTCATCTCGATTTAGTCTTCAAAATATATTTAAAGGTATATAACGTATATATATTTCGGACTCATGCTGCTAAAAACATGTTGCAATGAATGTGCGATAAGTGCGATACAATCTATCGCACATTTTTATCGAACGTGTTGCGACAAAAAGACGCCAGGTGGCACTGTACAATTATTTTTAAAATTTCAGGCCCTCTATCGGGCCTGTCACTTATCACTTGCCTCCCAGAGTGTCAGAGGTCCCAAAAGTCAAGTTCCTGGGGCTGGTGATGTTTGTGAGTAATAATATGTACTTCTTGTCGATCAGAAGGCGGCACTCTAGTTCTTATTTAATTTCGTACCCACAAAATAGATTTAAATAATATTATATTTCGATATTTAAATAAATATTCGTTTTACAGTACTGATTAGACAGAGCCATTTACCAACACTCGACAAGAGACCACTAAAATCGACTTGAAACGCTTTAAAAACGCTTATTTTAAATAGAAATGAATAGAAAACTAATGTTAAGTGCCTTGAGAGCAGTACGAGTGAGTACCTCCAACAAATGGCAAGTGCCCGCCTTGACGACAGTGCGACAATACGGTAAGTAACAGCAAACACTTTTGGACCATGCATTCTACCGAAATATTTCATAACAGAGCCGGCAATGGCAATCTTTCTTTGCAGCTGCGCCGCCAAAAAGATTCTACAAGAAGACCTCTGTGCTGTACACTGATGGTGGCTACGAGGTGGTGCTGGATCACAGGAAACTAAAGACACCAAAGGGCGCTCCCTTCACCGTCAAGAGCGAACCGCTGGCCATTGCCGTGGCCACGGAATTCGACAGCCAAAGGGATCACATCGAGCGGTCGCGCATGCACCTGTCGGCCCTGTGCTTCACGGCCATCGATAATCCCAATAATCTGAACAAACTGGATATGGTCAACTATCTCTTAAACTATATGCCCACCGATACGGTGCTCTTTCAATATGATGTAAGATTCAGGCAGAGCATTCCAAGAATATAGCTAACATTTGACTGCTTGCAGGATGAGCGAGATCTTAAGGAACTGCAGAAAAACGAATGGGATCCAGTGATTGAGTGGTTCAATCAGCGCTTCGAGACGAATCTACAGAAAACCATGAACATAACACCGCCGACAATTACCGATGAGGATCGAGTGAAGGTGGCCAAACATTTCCAATCCTACAGCTTGGACACACTGCATGGTAAGCAGTGCCCCCTGCAAACATTGTATTCTATATGCATTGAAATATCTTCTTTCCCTTAGGCTTCGTATATGCTGTGGATACGTTGAAATCCATTATTTTGGCCTGTGCTGTCATAGAGCAGATGCTGCCCGTGGAAAAGGCAGTGGCACTGTCCCGGCTGGAGGAGGAGTATCAGATCAAGTTCTGGGGACGCGTCGAATGGTCCCACGATCTGAGCCAACAGGAACTGCAGGCGCGTCTGGCCGCATCAGTCCTCTTTATACAGCTCAATTGTTCCGAGAACTTTGTTAAAGAAAAGCTGATACTGTAAAGCAGAGCTGAAGTAAAAACTAGTAGTAACCCTGTATTTATAATTCTCATTATTTCGATAACCAGCAAGGCCCAAATTTGTAAATTCATTCGTCCCGTTTTCTGTCTGATTTGTGGAATGTGCCTAGAAACTCACACACACATGGCGGTCTCCAATCACCGCCTTCATCCCAGCGATGAGGAATATGAAGAGTATAGCCATATGTTGAGAGGCATCAAAACCACCGATGATCTCCACAGGACCTATAAACCCGAGGAAATACCTCCGAAACCAACTTCCATCTTGAGAAACAGACAAACCGAAGTTTCTTTCAATCAAAACGATGACAAAGCTGCTGCAGAATGTAATCACAACACTGGCAAACACATAAAGTTGCAGCCTGTCGACGTTAGCACAATCATAGGACCAAGCTATAGTATATTGGATTTAACTTTAAACTGGGAACTGAGACGAGATGTAGGTTCTACAACAACCATCAAAGCCGTTCAGGAGCTCTACTCCTGTAAGAGATCCTTAAGCAGCTCAAGCCTCGAGGAAAGCCCACAAACGGGTGTGGCGAATGATAAACGCATTGCCTCCGGGCGAAGTAACTGGTTAAAATGTAGTAAATATTCGAATAGCGAGTGCAAGGAGAATAAGTGCAAAGGTGAGTAGAACAATGATAGTAGATCTAAAGTACACCCTATTAAACACCTCCAATAGCTGCTTGTAAGCGCAAAAAGGCATGTTATGCCACCGTTAGCTATGCGGACCCAGAGCAAAGCTATGCCGAATCAGAACGAAACCAGTACTATCCCGAGTCGCAACAAAGCCAGGTCTATCCTCAGTCGGAACAAAGCCAGGTCTATCCCCAGTCGGAACAAAGCCAGGTCTATCCCCAGTCGCAACAAAGCCAGGTCTATCCTCAGTCGGAACAAAGCCAGGTCTACCCCAAGTCGGAGCAAAGCCAGGTCTACCCCGAGTCGGAACAAAGCCAAGTCTATGCTAAAGAGGAAAAAAGCTGTAGCTTTCACGAATCGAAACCAAACCATGGCTCCCCCAAATTGAAACAAAATCCTGTCTATCCCGAATCGCAAGAAAACTCTTACTACCCCGAGTCGGAAGCATGTCATAGGTCGCCCAATCGTGTGTCACCAAAGCAAGGCTCATCCAAATTCCAGCAAAATTCAGTCTATTCCGAATCCAAGCAAAGCCGTTGCTCTGCCGAATCGGACAGAAAAACTGACCATTACAACATGAAAAGTACTTCAACATTCAACACAAGCAATGGCACTGATTATACCGATGAATCATGCCTCAGAACTCAGGCTTATGATCGCCATGCCCAATCTCCACGGTGCGAAAGTTCACGGGACTCCCATAAGTTTGAGGAAGAGCAGCGGATGACAGATTGCAGTAGGCAATCTCATAAGAGGGGTACAGACGCTGCTAGTCATTTAGGGTCTTCGAATTATTCCTGCCCATCCCCCTGCCCCATTCCACTTGTTCCCAGGACGAATAGCAGCTGTCACGGTGCACCAACGAATGAAAATTCTTTGCATGGAGACGCCATGGAGAGTTGCGGAACAGCAAAGACCAGAGGCATGAAGAGGCCTGCAAATTCTTGCAGTGGTTCTTCCATGTCTGGCACTCCCTCCGCGGCATGCTCGTTGGATGACGGTCAAAATGAAAACTCTGCCTGCAACTGTGTGGATATTGAGAGCTTCCTCGCAAATTGCAAGAAACACCCGGCACAATGCTGCGATCCATGTGAGGGCTGCTGTCCCGTATTCTCACCTCCTTACATGAGACCCTGCGCACCTTCTTGCAGCCCCCCAGAGCCCCCCTGCATCAGCAACGAATGCTTCTGCATGGGCTATGTGCATGATATGCTGGAGGATCGATCCGTCTACGCTGTATCCTATCGGCCGGTTATGTGTTGCGGCAACAATTTCAAACATTCTTCCAATGGGAATAGTTGCCTCTGCTCAGACCTGCCGCTGGGCGGTGGTTGCGGACCCTGCAGCAATGTCTGTCCCCCCAGTCCATGTTGCTTTTCAGCGGAATCGCCCTCATGCTGCGGTGCCTCTTGTCCGGGTGTCTGTCCACCCGCTTGCGGCGGTTGTCCGGTAAGCTGCTTGTATCCACTGGCACGACTCAGGTGAGCAAATCGACAATGATTTTTGAACTCCTTTTAATATGAAAATAACTCTCCTTAGTCCGGGCTATTGTAACTCCTATCCCTGTGGTGGATGCAATGCATATTGCATTTAACAGGCATCGCTTCATGGCTCTCTAGAGTCCAGATTGTGGCAGCGAATCCCCTCTTGTTATGGAAAGATATAGAATACCTATGGCAATGAAAGCGTTTTATAGATACTTAGACTTAAACGGAAATAATGGTACACACGTCCGGGAATATAATGCCGTTTATATCAATGTTGTTTCGGATATGGATTCCATGTAGGCGTTCCTCATTATCTTGAGGGAAGAGTGCTCCCAGGAAACAAAGTCTTAGTTTTCCTAGAGGCATTCTTTGCATACATACTTTCCATCGCCGGACTGTCTCCAGTCTTCCTTGTCCGAAAAATCATGGGCCATCTCCTGCTACTTCCAGGCAATTCAAGATTTACATCCTACAGCAGAGTTCAACATGTAAATATCCCATTTCTACCGCATAATAAATTCACAAATAACAAATCTCACATTTACACGATTTAATTGTCGCACTTTTTGTAGTGTGATCGTTTGTTTTTTTTTTTGTTTTTTATTACAAAATATTGCATTGACAATTTACGCTTAATTGTTGTTGGTTTTGTTCCATTCTTGAATTTCCATTGTGTTCCATTCAAAACAGAGTATGAAATGATATATTTACTATGGGATGAGTTAATGGATATAGCAAAAACGAAACATCAGACACACAAGTAAAACTCTGCTTAATTTATGCTTAATTTTGAGCACACTTTTCACTAGTTAAGCGGAATACTTAAGTAGAAAAATATCTGTCATCGTATCAGAACGCTCCTAAATCCGCCCTTCCTGTTTTTGTGGATTTTGTTTGAGTTTGTTTTTGCTAGTGGAAATTACAAATTAAATTTGATTTGATTTTTCGCTTAAATAATTGCATTTAACTATGGGTAAACATTGTATTGATATTTAGTTGGAGCATTTCTTTCATTATTAAATTAACATTTAACTATTTTTTGTAGTTTTTTAGTTTTTGTTTACATTTACGGACAGCAGCAGGAAACAAGGGCAGAAGATCTGTTTTTTTCACCATTTTTCTAAGGGAAATGTAATCGTGATTTTCGATTAAATGAAATTTCTTTTGGAATAACAATTTGGGATTTTTGTTTAAATTAAAATTAATTAAAGTCAGTAAAAAGTAGAATCTCCATGGAAAACAATTTCTGGAGGTTTTACGATTAATAAGTTATTAAAAATCATACAAAAAAGATATGAACAAATTTTTGATATAGCAAAATCGTAATCAAGTTTATCCCCTTCTTCAGGCTTCTTCTGCCCTTGACTTTTAAGTATGTAGTTTTACGGATTGGTTCGCTCTTTTCTCTTCTTCTTCTGGTAGACATTAAATTGGAATTACATTGGTTTCTCCTGTTCTGTTCTTTTGTTTTGTTTTTTTTTTCTGGTGGGTTGGGGGTCTGGAAGTACTTTTACAGTTAACATACACACACGCACACACATAGACATATATGTACATACATATGCCGGGAGGGGCTATACATATATCTAACTAGCTAAGATATATGCAAAAATAATTAATTAATGTAGTTTTTTTTATCGCTTTTATATATGTTTTAAATCCTGTTGCAGGATTTGCTTCAGCTATTTAAGTAAGGATTACACAAATAATAATAATAGCTATTAATTAATGGAGAAACTAATGCAGAATTATAATGGAAAATATAAATTTGATTTATGTAGTTATGGGGGAGGGGGGGGTAGGGGGGCAGGGCCGTTTGTGTGTTGATTTTTTTATGCAACATATAGCATCACTGGAATAGTCTGTTTGCCAAGCTGCAGGCCGGGCTGCGGCATGGCATTTTTCGAGTGGTCTTTTCATCTTCAAGTATGTATATAGTTTTGCGGCCATATCTGGCTGCAGACATATGTTTATGACATATATCCAAATATATATATATATATATATGTATATACCAATAGTTTATAAGTAGACATGTGTGAAATTGCACTAAAACTAAATGCTACAACATTTAAAAATTGGACATCCAAATGGATGGACTCCATTTACATACAAATAGAGATATACATATATACTCGTACTATATATATATTTATCGAAAATTCTAGCAGCTCTCCTTCTATCAAACCAAATCGGTTTTGGCATTTTTTTGTTTTGTTTTTTTTTTGTTCATTTATAAAATAGTTTTATATAAGGTTTTATGTATGTATAAAAAAAGTCGCTAGCTGCTTAAACTAAATTTAATTTGATTTTGCATTTGTTGTTTCTGCCTTTTTTGTTTTTTTTGTTTTGTTTATACGTAGTAATTTTTTAAATAAATTTTCTTAGTCTTTTCATTTTCCATTGTGTGCTTTAGTTTACTCTATACATAAGTCATCGGTATATATATCATTCATATATAGCGAAAAACGTTATATAATTGTTTCTTTTCTTCTTACTGGAAACTCAAAAGCCAGCAACAGACAGGGCAACGCGCGCGGGGCGGTCCTCCCGCCCTTCCAGCACATGGCATTCATCAAACGAGTATATCAAAATATGTATAGTTCGTGTATAAAAATTTGGCAATTTTTGCGCATAGTTTCGGGTCAATGCTTGGGAGGGGTCGCGGATCGGATCCCGTCTGCGGCGACGACTGCTGTTGCGGCTTTGGGTTTTTAGGCACATGTTTTCAGAGCTTATAGGTAGAGCACTTAACCCTACAATAGATATATCTAATACTAAATATGTAAAACTTTGTCGCCGTCAACAATTGTCAATGTTCTCCGCGCAACAGCTCCATCAGCAAATTGAAGTCAGCTCCATCGCGTGTCTTGATCGTCAGCATTTCCTTGCCCAGCTGTTCGGAGGGAGTTTCATTAGATCTTTTGTACTTTTAGGGGCATTCCAAGCAAGCACTCACCTGACATGTGCGCTGCAGGTCGGGTATACGCAGCAGCAGCTCTCCAAACTTGGAAGGCGTATCCGGATAGTGGGCCAGCGTATAGGCCTGCAGGCCCTGCAATGCCTTCTCCTGGCACTCCCGCACTTTCACCGCCTCATGCAGCTCTGAGGTGTCTAGATAGTGTATGGGGTATTAGATCAGGGTTTACTTGGACCTCCTCTTGGAGTCTTACCTGACTGCAGCAGCACTATCACCTTCATGGCAACATATTCGTAGCGGTCCACGCGCAGACGCCTCAAATGGTCCGTCAGATTGAGCATGCGTTCGATGCAGGTCTATAAGGAATCAAATTTTATAATGGGGATTACTTTTATGGGTTTAATGTGACCTAAAGAAAAACTACTCATACTGGGAGAAAAGAGGGGATAAAAAGTTAAAAGAGAATTAACAAAAGAAGATGCATTTAAATGATATTTCCTAAGACTTTTAATGATTTCGGAATCATAAAAGGAAACATTAAGAATGAAAACATCCAGAAATTGTGGGAATTTCCATAAGATTTCGTTAATAAGATGAAATGTCCGAAAATAAATAAATTAAACAGATTACTGAATTGAAACTCTGATTGATTGAACAATAGAAAGCAAGAGCATCTCCGTGGGAGCATTTTTTGGATTAAAAGAGCTTTAATTTGGGTATAAAATGAAGCAACACAAAATGTAATTTTTATAATGAATGGTAAATAGTTCGTACTTTAAGAAAATAAAGACTCAAGTACAAGACTGTAACGAGTATGAGAAATTATATTTATACAATGGAAAACCCCACTAAATCTCTCCAAACAGTAATTATTTAGTGATATATTGATTTTATAGTTACAAATGTCAGTAGTGCCTCTGTTTAACTTATTTCTATGACTCATATTTCACGCAGATTATTTATATAGATTTTTTAAGGGGCTTTAGTTTATTTAAAAACCTTTCAAGATATTTTTATACCATAAAATATTCACGAAATGAAATACAACTTCCCGAAAGTAATAGCATAAATTTATTTATTTATAGTAAAACCAAAACACACCTGAAGCCCATTCGTTTTGGCCTGTGATAGTGTTATCTTTCTGCCTTGGGACATCTTTATCTCCCCGGGCGTATCAATCGAACGGAAACAGCAGGAGAAGAGCAACAGTTCGCACCACGAATTGATCAGCAAACAGATTTGATCATCGATCTGAAAAGAGTTATTATAGTGCTCCGATCTATTCCGAAAGTAGACGACAGTTACACACCGAAATGTTCTTAAAGAGCGGCAGACTCTTGCACCATTTGACAATCTTGTAGAGACGATGATCGGCCACATTGCAGAGATGAGCAATCAGATCGGGATTGGCATTCTCCCCGTTGGACGAGAGACCGGCACTGGCCAGCAGTGGGTTGGTCAATTGCTGCTGCTGGTGCTGATGCGGCTGTTGCTGCTGCTGCTGCTGTTGGTGGTTCTGGTGTGCCGTTGAGGCGGCAGACGACGACGATGATGATGAGGAGCTGCCACCAGAGGCAAAGGCGGACAATGGCTGATTGATGCGGGCCAGCTCTGCATCGGTGTACTGCCAAAGATGTTCAACATCCATGATTTCCTGTTGCCAAAAAAAGAGATCCATTAATCGGGGAACATCTAAGGAAAGTCTCCTTGAAAACCCACCTGCAATAGCGTTGGAATACTGCTCGCTCTTAATGTCTTCGCCTCGGATTCCTCTGTTTTGATGGATGCTCCTCCCAGACTGGGACTCGCCGGCAGGGATGTCGACCCTGAAAAGCCATTCATCTGCTGCTGGAGTCTCTGCTGTTGATGCTGGTGCTGATGATGCTGCTGGTGCTGGTGCTGATGATTGGCCACTGAAGCTACCGCAGCGGCTGCCACCGCCTGATCCGGACTCAAGAGCGGACTCAACATCGAATTGGGCAGCGTGTAGGAGCATTGATAGGTGGAGCGACCGCCACGGGTGCGATCCTCGCGTATGGCCTCCAGTTTCATGCCCTTCTGCAGGCACTTCTCGAACCGACAGGCAGGGCACTTTTTGCGCGTGGAAATGCTCACCTGGCAGGGTCCCCCACGGACGCACACGTAGTTCTTGCGATTCTGGACGGTGCGCTTGAAGAAACCCTTGCAGGACTCGCAGGAGAAGATGCCATAGTGGAAGCCACTGATCTTGTCCCCACAGATCGGGCAGGGGGAGTTGATCAGCTGCTGGCGGGAGATCCCGGCCGGGGAGGCGGGCAGCGAGCCCGATCCTAGCGGATCCATGGCACTGGAAGCCGAGTCCATGCTGAGATTTTGTGCCGACTCCTGGCTCGATCCACCCGTTGAGGAGGCCTCCGCTTTGAGCGGCCTGTACAGCATACCATGATGATGCACGCCGTTCCCGTAGCTGCTTCCGGCTCCTCCGTTTCCTGCCGCGGATCCGCTGCCGGGATACATGGATCCCGCCGGTGGGGCATGCCGCGCCTGAATCGGCGAGTGCGTCGGACTGAACTCCGAGCTGTAGCTGTAGCAACTGCTGTGCGAGGCGTCGCTGTTGTTGCGACTCAGCGACGGCGTGTACGGTGCATGCCGCGACGTCAGCGGCGACTGCGACGGTGAGCTGTGGGTGTAGACGGAATGTATGGCAGAGTCGGGACTGGGATTCGCTGGCAGCGGCAGGTGTCCCCCACTGTTCGACTTGTTGCGGGTCGTCAGCAGCGGGGAGTTGTTGTCCCCCAGGGGGGGCTCATACTTGAGATTGATCGGATCGCTCTGGGTGGGCGCCAGCTTCAGTTTCGCGGGACCGTTGCAGCTGGACACCGGATAGGCGTTGCTTCGCGGATGATGCTGCAGCTCTCCGGCAATGTTCTCCAGCTCCGTTTTGATCGGCTGCATCGTGGGGCAGGTGGTGGACGCCGCCTGAATGGGCGTCGACGTGCTGCACACCTCACTCTTGATCACCGTCTCCGTTTCCATCAGCTCTGCCCCTCCTCCGCCACAGCTGCCTCCGTTCTCCTCGGGTTCGCTCAGTTCCCCCTCCCAGGACATGGGTCGGGGTCCGTTCTTATCCGCCGCCCGCCGGCGCACCTTCAGGTTCTCGATATTCGTGAGCTCCGCCTCGGAGTCCGACTCTTCCTCCGCGGTGTGTGGCTGCCCACTGAGGGGTATCCTCAGGCTGCCATGATTATAGTTGGCGATGACCGGCACCAGATTGCCATTCGGCGTGGGAAGCTCCTCTAATTCACATTTAATGTTCGTCACGGACACATTGTGACGCGACGGCGTCGCCGATCCTGTCGTCGTCGTCATCGTCATCGCGCTGCTGTTGCTGCTGCTGGTGCACATGTTCACGGGTAGTTGGTAGCTGCCTGTGCCCCCGATTGGGGCACTCTGCTGCTCGGCCTTAATGCTAGACATATTCGGCATGGCTGCTGCAATTTTAATGGATTTCGGGGGGCGGTTTCCTTCCTTCCGTCCTTCCTTATCAAAATATTCTATGTATCAAAAAGACTTTTGTTTCTCAATTGTGCAATTTGTAAAAATTGGAGAGATGTCGTTGATGCAGTTCCATTGTGTTGTAAAACTGCAAAAATAAAGGAAGAGAATGTTTGTTAATTTATTTATTTTATTTTATAATTAATGATAATTCTAGTTGGTTTATATTTCAGATAATTATCAGAAATCATACAGTTGGGTGCTGTTTTAAATAGCAGAAGAGTTAAATTTACTGAAATGTATTATTTTTGAACAGATTTATAGGAAAATTGTATAATATTATCACGATTTCTCTTTAATTTCAGAAAATTAAACGTTTTTGTCGAGGCACACAAACAAAATTATGGCTATATCGACTCTTTGTAATCTGTACACTCTCCATAATCCATGAGTATTCTTCTAATTTTTATCAATTTAAAGAAAACAACGCAAGTTGAAACAAGTTTTTTAAGTATCAATATTAATAGTTTCAGCGGCTCTGAAATTAAATTTAGATTTAATTGCCTCATAGTTTTGGCAAAACCCCCATTTATGCTAATTAAATAAAAGGTTCTCCAACCTCTTGGCAATGAGTCATTTTCTGACTCTCCGCCCCCCCTCGAGATTTGCTTAGCAACAGGCACAAAGAGATACACTACTTTTTTAGGATCTGTGAATAAACCCCGACGACAACAATAGGGTCAATGCTACCAATTATCCATCCACAGCTATATCCACCCACCCTGAAGCGACCTTGGCCCGAGCCCCGAGCCCCGAGCCAGAGCATCCAACGAACGGGGCCACTTATGTTAATTGAGGTTATGCCGTGGCAGAGCACACGAACACTCTCGTCCACAATCCCGCTATGCGAGCGCTCTCTCTCTCCCTCTCCCTCTCTCTTTCCCTTTTGCGTGTATTCATTCATTTCTTATCAGCAGCTCTCCCTTCTCTCTCTCTCTCTCACCCAACCATTGTTTCGCTCTCTTGTTTGGTCTCCCACTTGAACAATAGCTTAAGCAATACACAACTATGGGCAATGGGCAACGGCCAGCCCAACGAAAAATGTCAACGACCCAACAATGGGAGGGGGGCGATGGATAGGGAAGTGGAGAGCGAGATATGGAGAGGGCGCTGAAGAGCGAGGGAGATGGGAGGGCGACCAAAAAACGAAAGAGGCGCAAAAGCCGATGGAATTATAATAAATTTAAGGTACATTAACCCAACGCCGGTACGCAGCTGGGGGGGGGAGCGATCGGAGAAGTTCTTTGGACATGCTGTATGGCCTGGCAGATGGTGGAGAGGGCCAAGGGCGCGGCAACACCTGGTAACGAAGGGGTGCGGGCGGGTGCCGTACTAAGTGCAGGGGTGTAGGCAAGGGGGATTTTGGAGTTCTTATTTGAAAAAGAATTTCTGCAAAAGCAAAAAGTCCTGAGCATGCGATAAAAAGTCTGCTTTTGGCTGATTAAATCCTCCCTGAAATAAAACATTTGTCCACATTTGTATGCACTTAAAGCCCCTCCCCCTCTCTTAACAATCTGCCTGCATCCCCAACGACAAACCTTTTCAGAGGCGTATACACAATTACCGCTAAAGATGATTTTCAATTTGCACAAGAATCAATAGTTTAAGGAAATTACAGAATCCGTCGAAGAACGAACCCGTACGACCCCTAAATGGGGAAAAAAAATCTTTGTTTAGGCAAGCCATTGCATGCAAAGAAACAGACAGAAACAGACAGCGAAGACAGAAAGAGAGAGCGGCGGCAGAGAGCGAGAGAGAGGGAGAGAGAGACCAAGATGGAGACGGAAACGGTGAGAGAAAGAACGAGTAAGAAACGACGCGCAGAACGGGCAAAGGACGACCTTCAAATAATGTTGAAATTTGTACGCAAACGACCTTGCATACAACAACAACCACGACAACGTCGGCGTCGGCGACAGCAACGGCGACGGCGGAGACGACGACGAAGCAAAACCACGAAGAAGACGACGAAGGCAGCGCACACACATACACAAAGACGCAACACATGCGCGGACAGCAGTCGAACGCCGCGGGGGAGACAAGCCGAAGAGCGGAGAGCGTGCAAAGCATGCGTCAGTTTTTTTTGTTCTTTTTTTACACCCATTGAGAAGGTATAATGTTTTCGAGAAGATTTCGGCAGTACAGAAATGAAGCGATCTAATGGAGAGTATTGTATTCCTACTATTCCTACATACATACAATATCCGAAGTCATTTGAAGAACTTTTGCGGGAACGAAGAATCCAATAGGGTATCAAAAGTTCCATGCTATTCTTCCATTCCGCTGTTTTGTTCTTTTTTTTGGGTTAAGAAAGAAGAACAGAAATAATCATAGGCAGGACAGAGATAGATAGAGAGAGAGAGAGGCACCGAGAGAATTTAGCAGAAAAGAAAATAAACAAAAATTGTTTTATATTAAACTCTCTCTCTCTCTCTCTCTGTCTGGCTATCTTCCTCACTCAAATCAAGAACAATATTGTTCTCAGCTGCAGTTGTGTGGGTGAGAGCGTGTGTGCTCGCAAGAGAGAGAGAGAGAGAGAGAGAGAGAGAGAGAGAGAGCAGAGTGGTCAGCATTTGGTTTATTGCTGATTTTCAAGTTCTTTCTTTTCGGCTGAAATACGCTGGAGGGGGGACTTTGGGAGGGGGCATCGCACCGCACCGCACCGCACTCAAGGGCCGACAAATGCAGCCAAGCGATTTTTGATGATTCCTTTTCCGCCTCTACTCTACTCTTCTTCTCTTCTCCCTTGTATTCGTTCTGTTTCTGGTTTTTGTCTGGATAGAACTGTACCCACACATGCAAATTAAACAATAGCGGTAGCGGATTGTGTTTTTAAAAAGTTTTTATTTTACTTCGAACTTCACTGATATAGATTTAAGTAGAGGGTCACAAAGGAATTCCGGGCAAGGGATTGCGCGATCTTAATATTGAGCTAGACTTTGCGGTGTCGCTGCTGGATCAAGACTGATTTGAACTTTCTGATCTTTGCATCGTTGATCCCTTTCGGGAATCGTTTTTCTATAAACATTTCAATTGATTTCGCCATCCCGAGTATTGGATTTCGTCATCCAAAGAGAGAACTGTAAAAGGCCTAAAGTGCAGGATCTGCAGAAAGCCGGGAGTGAGATTGTTTATGAGAAGCCGGGTGTGGGCAAACATTGGTTTTCCATTTAGGCGAGTGTCAAAGATTGGGGTTGCGGCGGGGGCGCTTGAGATTGTACATCTTAGAAATCAATTAGGCGGAGGCCCAAGATTGAAATTGTTTTCGTTTTGGAAAGCCAAAGATTGTTTACAACTCGTATAAGAGCTCAATGGAATTGGGTACGTTAACTCCCCCCATTCTTAAATGTTTCGTCCCGATACATTTTGAAGTTCTGATAGAGCTCTAATTTCTTCTGACAGTATTTGAATGTTGCTTTCCACTATTTCTTCTGACGGTATTCTTATTGATTTAATAAGTACACATTTGGTTAATTTATAGCCGAAGTAAAATAACATTAACAATATCAAAATGATTAAAAATAATGTTGTTAATGGTAAGGCCGTATTACCTAATGTTATAAGGGGATTTAAAATATTAACATTATCAAAAGAAAATTGCTTATCATTCGATTGTATATAATCGACTAATTCAAAATCGCTATATCTATGATGCGATATATATTTTAGAATTTTACCCTTATCATTTATGTGGGTTATATTATTTATTACAATTGTGTTGTTGAATATAAGGAGATACGATCCTAACAAAGTAGTATTGTCTACGATATTTTTGCCTGAAACTAATATGGCACCATCCTGAATGATGTCTATTTCTTTGTTTTTTTCCCTTTTTTTAGTGCAGTTGGCTTTAAAGCCATTAAGTAAATTGGTGAAACAGGTACTCTTTAAATTTATTTGTGCGTAATTGTTAAAAGTTTCACTTTTAAAATTATTCATTAAATAGTATTTCTCCTTACATTCACAAACTTTTTCACTTATAACTAACATTCCATCATTTTGTGAGATGGCTCTTGCATGGTAAAACTTGCAAATATCTTTAATTTGAGGATATTTTATGTAAATGATTATTAAATCTGCATTTCGAATTATTTTAACCGTTGCAATGTCCAACAGATCAGACAGTTCAACATTATGTTTTTCATGCTTATAAATGTCCTCTATTTCGTTTTTATTTAAAATTTTTGTATTGAAAATGTTTACTTTTAAGAGGGTTATGGTATCAACTAAATTTAGTAGGTCAAAAGTTATTAATTTTAAACGATGCTTTCTCAGTATCGTTTCTTCATTGAAGATGACATTCTTTAATGAATTTGATAGCAATTCAATTTCTTTGAAAAATTTGGAATTTATTACAAATTGTTTATTATTATTTTCAGTTAATTCATTTACTTTATTTTGTATTTTCAAAAAGTCGTCATGATCAGGGCTGCCTGCTATCCATTTCCAAATGGTACCTAATTCATTTATTCCCCTTTCTTTCCGTTTTGGAACTAATTCTGAAATCATTAATTTTAATAGACTTAAGTCCATTGATATTTCCCACTCATCGTCTGAATTAATTGATTTGTTGACATATTTGGATTCTTTATCAATTATCTCTCTATAAAAACTCAAATTAGTAATATGGAAAAGTTCAGCGTATGTTTCATAAGTGTAAACGTCTCTGTCGTCTTTGAGCAATAGATAGTCACTATGCGTATAGTCAATTACTTCCGCAGTCGTCAATATAACAAAAGTCAGTATTAGTATATTCGCATACATTTTCTGGAAAAAATATTTAATATTTGATGTTATCTTTATGTATAATTCTGTTTCTATTGTTGATTATAATTTTATTCGGTCGATTTTCCTTAACTACCTGCTTTTTGTATCGGGATTGTAGTTTATTTCTTTCCCCGAATTTCTTTTCATAGACTACTTCTCCTATTTTATAATCTTTTTCTCTTCTATCTTTGTTATGTATCTTAAGCATTTTGGTCTGAGCTTCCTTAAGTAATATTGGATTATGTTTGTGTTCTATTTTGTTATACAATATGTCATATGGCATTTGATTGGTCGTTGAATGTATCGTCAGGTTATATTTCA